GTTATTCATGAGTAAGATGCATGTTCTCTCTGGTAATTTCGATAATAGTTTTAACACAAACATACACACATGCGCATATATATATATATATATATATATGACTCAATTTCTTACCCATAAACGTTCGAGTTTACTCACTTCTAGCAGAAAGCGCAAGGTAAAATGAGTAGCATTGGCCTATTTATATTCCTATATAGTTTAAATTGTATAAAATGATGTTGACAACCATAAAACAGATTCTTTATAAAAAAACACCAAGTATCGTGCCGTACCGAATTTAATTTTTCATTTGTTGATGAATTGTGAGAGAATCAAAAATGCAGCCTAGAAAACGAGAGTAGAATGGATGATGCGATGAAATTAGACATTTTTTAAAGGACTGGATCTGTATTAAAATATAAAAAATAGCGAAATTATATTTATATAGTTTGGTGAGTAAAACCTAAATCATTGAAAGGAGGAAAGTTTATTCTGGACTGCAGATAATCCTACCAATATTCACATTATTGACACTACGTATATTGTGTTTTGCCAGGGCATATTACCCGAGTTCTTTAAAGCAATCGTCAAATTTCGGTTAAAGATACGTCTTCTATTCCGAGATAAGAATAAATCATAAAAGAAAATAACAACAGACAAGTAAATTCTATGCAAATGTTATAGCATCACAATTAGACAAAATTGAATTTACCTAAATACTAATAACAATGATGAACAGACAAGCATGAGCAAATATTAAAATCAATTTCGCACGCATTACGAGTATGAAAGTGTTGTGGTCCTAAGCCTATTAACAGATTCTAACATAACTTGAGACTGGATGATCGAATAGAAGATACATAAAAGCAGTGAAGAAGCTGAATACAGAGTCAGTTAGTGATAAGGCAGAATGGTTCTAATGTAGAAGAGGTTGCTCGAGTGCGCACAGAAGTAAAGGGATAGAGGATTAAGGAGGAAAGGATAAAGCATGCTGTGTGGTCTCAGCACCATTCGATGCTGCGTATAGGCGGAGAAACAGCACTGATTCAAAATATGTCAGTAAAAGTCTTAGTGACTAGCGAAGAGCAAATAGTCATGTAGTAATAGGCTTAAAGACGGATTGGTTTAAGAGTATACGAAAAAATCCAATGTAGAAGCGGCATAGAATGACCGTCATCCCGAGAAAGACATGAACATGCGAGCTGGCTTGTAGCAGTAAAAATGTTATAATGGTGACCTCTTATTTCTTAGAGAGCCTACCATTATGACTTTCCAAAAGTGTTTCTTTAAAGCAAGATGCTGCAATCAAAGCATTGAGATATGATATTAAAGTAAAGATAGATAAATGGAGCACAAGCAGACATCGTCATCCAGATAATGATACTCAAATAGACAAATCTATTCTGGCAAAAAATACTTTGTGAGATGCCAAGGTCAACTGTAATTGGTGTTCGAAGGTTGACACAACTTTAGATGAGTAGGTAGTCTGAAAAATCCAATGTTAAGCTCAGGTCGAGTTATAGAATAAGAGTGTCAGGGTTCATTGG